TCTTTTCCATCCAGCCTTGAGGGAAACGGCACAGAGAACGTTTACTCCTCGTCGAGCTTGTAGCAGCGAGCTGCCTGTCTGTCTGCTTGGCCTCCTGCATGTCTTTCATTTCAGATTGTTTGATCATGTTTGTCTGAACTCTGCCTGACCATCTCGCTGCTCTTCTGCAGCTTCAGCTGCTTCACCAAAAAGTCCGGCTTCATCAGTGTCAGCACTCCGGCTCCAGATGCACCGACAGGGGCTGGATGGGCATTAAAAACACTGTTCACAAGAACACATGCCTACAAGGGATGGATGAACTCTAGACATGCTAGAAAACAATGCTTATGCTCCGTCTCACTTTCACTGTCTTGGTCCTTCTCGTACACTCACAGGCTGATTACAGTTTGGATGCTGTGGTCGTGTTGCTTCTAGGAATATGCAGCATTTCTACCTTTTAATTACAGTCGTTTGTTTTCTTCTGCCATAATTGGGTTATTAAAATGTTCTTTACTAGCCATCTCCGCAAACAACAATATCAATTAAGTAATTAAGGTTGAGCTTGATGAATATATTTGTCGACAGTTTGGTATGCGGTGCCAAAGGGCCGAACGTGTCAGAGTGATGTAAAAGCATTTTATTACCTGGATGACTGATAGAAGCCGGTGTCTCCCCCCCCATGCATGTAAATAAATAGATAATAGCTCAGCTTACGGATGCTAATGTGCAGAATGAAGCAATGATTTTACGAGCTAATTCATTCACGCCGTGCTGCCGTGGCGACACCCGTCACATCCTGTTTACACGCACAGCGACTGTCCGTTCAGGCGTCGTTGCACAACAACCTGACCCGGTCCTCGAAAACATTAAAGAATGTTTAACAAGTGATGCAGACGTGCTCGCTCACGTCCAGGGATCATAACATAATAAATCTCATTCACCAGCATGATGTTGTTTCAGCTCAATCTGCAGTCACTTTGGGACCTGCTCTCTATCAAAATAACAGCCACTGTTCAAATAAACTCAGCACACAAGCCCGGGCCTGGCGGTTCTGACATTCACAGGCGAGAGCTATTCTCATGAAGATTAATGCTTTTTTTTTTCTTCTTTTTCCTCTTTTGTTTCTTTCCAGCAACATGAAACCATTAAAGCAGAAGAAATGAGAGGTAAGCGTTTTTAAATTCTGTGCGATTACAATGGAGAGGATCAGCTGAACTTTGATTTGGCTGCCACCGAAGCCGACTGGTGGAAGAAACCGGCGGCAGTCGCAGCAGGTTGCTCAACCCGGCTTTAGGTGGCTGTGAACACCTAATACTAGCGTGCACTTGCCCACGCTGTCACTTCGACGCATGTGGCCGCGCAAGAGCCTGCATAAACAAACGTGCACATGCGATCCACACGCAGTGTCACAGTGAGCACATGACCACGCATAAACTATTCATACGTGCAGCGAGGGACACGGAGAGCATTTTCTCTTAATTCAGTGCAGTGAAGGATGCACCGTGCATGTTTAACTCAACATACAGATGGTGCACCGGAGAGAGAGAGCAGCGGCATGTTTGGATAAGAATAGAATTGCATGACTCTGAAATAGCACCTTTTTACAGCACATCTGTTTACTTTGAAAGTGTATCTCTTGCATTCTTACACTTGAGTTGGTGACTTCATCGCTTCCCTCAGGGCACAGAATATATAAGTGAGTCAGGACACTCAACAGGATTTCTCTCTGCACGCAAGCAGCAACTGGTAAGGGAGGGTCTGCACTTGACCACAGAGCTGTGGTCTTATCAGCTCTGGCTATATCTGCCAGTTCCTAACAAAACTATTTATGTACTATCAAAAGCAATTAGTGTAATAACTGTAACGACATTGTCCAAATATGGCGCTTTTTGTTGGCTTTTTGTGGACACACCCTCTCCCCAGCAGATATGTATTAGCTGGCCTTCTGTCAGAAGCTTTTTTAAGAGAAACACTTGTTCCCAGACTACAGCAACCTCCCAGTATTAACCGCTGTGTTTTTATTGTTTGTGTTTTTACATCTAGTAAATGGAAGAACCATTTATTTACCAGACAAAGACACATTTAGGTGTGCATGATGTATGCAGTATGGCCATAAAGGGATGCACCTATCACAGAGCGCGTTGTCGTCCATGCAAACAGGTGTGTTCTGCAGATCTGGAGGAGCTTTCCAAAGCATTAAAAAAAAAATCTGGGGACGTCAGCGCTTTGAGCTCAGGGACTGCAAATTCATAGCAGACAGCAAACTGAAAGTACAGAGTTTGAGAGTCATGAGCGTTTACGAGGCGGGTTTCACACTGATGTGTCGCATTAAGGTGTTCAAACTGCCCCAGAGGGTGGAGCAGGACAGCTGAAGGGGAGCCACAGGCAGACAGCGAGGCAGAGATACCGAGTGACGTAAAATAAGTTGTGTCCAAAATTAGGGTTACTTCTTTCAGTCATAAGTTGTCAAATCTTAACACAAAGTCCATAAATCCAAGAGAGAGATGTTTCCAGAACCATCAGATGTTTGTGTTTTTAATTTGTTCTCAGGGACAAAGTAAGTCGTTTAAATCCTGTAAATTTGCTCGACTGTAATCAGACATAAGCAAAAGAAGCAAAACTCCAGCTGCAGCCCTCAGCGGACTGAGTCCACCCTATTATAATGCATTATTATAATCATCTTTATCTTTATTGGGCTTCTTTCCTGAAACAACAACTTCTAACTGCTCGAAATTCTGCTCAAATATAAATAAATAGCAACACAAAACGTATTTTAGGGAAAACATGCTGCCGGCAGGATGACTTCAAAATGATCAAACCATCGTTCCACCTACATCCTGCAGCCATGCATGCAGCGCCGTACAAATGTGATTTTCACAGTAGATCGAGTCGTAGTCGTCGTAGATGCTGCTTTCGTGGCGACTTTGACCTGTGACAAAACAAAACGATGAAGCTGTACGATGAGGAGTAATAATAGTTTAAAAAAAGAATATTTGCTTTTCCAGAGTGGAGAGTGACCAGCCTCCATCCTGTAACAAGCAGAGGAGCTCCGTCATCGTCACACAGCAGTCGCTCGTGAAAAAATAATCCTAAAATGTTTGTCCCGCCGAGTCAGCTATTACGTGTATTTTATTATTCATCACATTAACGACCTTTTCATTATTATGGTCCGTCTTTATTGTCTTACAAATATTAAGTTATCAACAAAAATAAAATAACTTAGATAATAACCATATTAAAACATACAAATACATACATTACATTTATGACATGAAAATAAAATGCATATTGCTGATATCTTCCCAGAGTTTTCCTGGACACAGTTCTGTATGTGCAAACTACTTATCAGAGTCCAAAAAAAAGAGAATCTGTTCTGCGCTTTGGACACAGAAACACATTTGCTTGAAATAAATTACACGGTCTGATAAGGAGCCTGACTCATACAGGTTTCTGGAGACCAAACATGACCTGATGAATGTGCGTAGGCAGAAGTCCGTATCGATGCTCTGACTTATAGACTCTGAAGTCCCCGTTGAACACATCAAAGAAGTGTGAAGAAGGTGTGATATATCTCAAGAAGCTTACAGTGTTGCACACAGTACATTGCATCACAAAACAGGAAACACTTTGATTGATGACGGTCTCGGATGTTTACAGAGTGAGGAACTGGAGCCCGTTCATGTGCACTCAGTGTCCTGAGGCACTTTCAAATTATTGATGGCGTTTGTGCGGCATTATTCATTTGTATTTACAGTGGTGTTCAGATTACGATGAAAACTGTTCGAGTTAAATGAAGGTTTACCAGGTCCTCTTACATTACGTACCACACACCAAACGGACCACACATGGCACGGTTCGGATAATTCGGGATCTGTGCCGTGTTTAGTCTGAAAACGCCGCGTGTGTTTAAGGGTTTCCAAACTGTGATTTTCCAAATGGGTCGGCAATATTAATCTTATCGTGTGTGGACGAGGAACTTCTTAATCTGCCTCAAGTTTTCTCAACATCCTCATTAGGAGAAAAGGAAATGCTCTCCCTGGCGAGGCTCTGATACGAGGAATCCAAGGAGGCAGCACCAAACATCTGACTTTCAGATCAGTCTTTTGATGGACTTCAGATTCATCACGGCTGTAATCTTTCCACAGGAGCCGTCTGTGGCTCTTAAATGCAGCCGTTGTACTTTAAACCTGTTGTGATTTGAGACTCCGCTCTGCCTTCTTTTCTTACCTAAATGTGTGACTGTATGCATCACTGCTGTTAGCAGGGTTACACACGATGCATACACACAGTAATGATGGCTGGTACGTGTACCAGATGAGCCAGACGATCACCTGATGTATTCGCCGAGCAACACGATAGCTGCTATAAATAAATATTGAAAAATTCCAACTGCCCCTTGAACAAGGCACAAAGTCCCTAAGTGCTCCAGATGTCTTGTGCTGTGTCAGATCCTGTGCACTACGAGTCCTGATGCGTGAAGTCATCTACGTTTGTCGTAGACGGGAAACATGGCGGACGCCGTCTATCACAGCTGGGCTGGTGCTGTACTGTAAGCCGTGGTATCGGTGCCTGAGGAACTACTGTCTAGTGTGTGATCTAAAACACATTCCTTAAGTTTCATGCAGGTCTTACGATGCTGTTGCTAAGAAGCATTTTTATTTTCTTTCTGCTTGCAATCTACTGCTTACTATAAAGTTCCTTTTTTTGATCGTTTGCGTCTCATGCAGCTGTAAGTCAGTCAACACATATTTACTTTATTTCAGATGTTTGTCTGATATAAGTTCTTGGTCTCAGGGGAAAGCAGTTCACGTCCAGGCGTTCTCAGTCGTGGCAGCTCTACACAACACGCTGCGTGTGCACCAACATGCACGTCTGTCTCTCTGCTGGCTCAACTGCTTCACACTCGGTCCTTGCTCGCCTGTTCTGCAAAGAAAAACTGCAGTCCACCGCAAAAAAGAATAATAGTCTGGATTTGTAAGATGTCTCTGTTTTTCTGTCCTCAGTCCTTTGGCTGTGTTTCTTCATTTACAGACGCTGACCCACTCTGTTATCCTGCACTCTTCGCAGACCACGTAGCAGCACCAGTGAAACTTGCAGTTGCAACGTTCGCTGCGCGTCTGCTGCAGGATGTTGTGGCCTCTGCCGCAGCACAGGCTCTCACAGTTGTCCATGCCAGGGCTGGTCTTGTTGCAGATCCGGCCCTGCGTGCCCGCCGAGTCCGACCCCAGGTCCCTCTCGCAAAAATCCGGCGACTTTTCGAAGTAGACCAGTTCGTTGATGCTGGGCCGCCGCCGATGCGTGTGGTGGTGGTTGTGGTGGTGGTTGTGCTGATGGTGGTGATGGTTGTGGTGGTTGTGGTGGTTGTGGTGGTTGTGATGGTTGTGGTGGGAGTGGTCCAGCTGTCCCGTGTTCCGGTTGTGAGCCTTGATAAGTGTGGCGATGTGGAAGCGCTCTTTGAGGATCGAGCCCACCACCCGGAACTCCGGAGTGACCTGCCAGCAGGTCTTCAGCTGGCAGCTCCCCGACGTCCCGTGGCACTTGCATTTCCTTCTCATGTGGTCGAGCACCACCTGCGAGAAGCACCAGAGCCAGACAGACAAAAAGAGAGAGTGGGATGGAGGGAGGAAGTGAGCAGAGGCGAGGGGAGGGGAAAAAAAGACGAGAAAGATTAATGACTGTCTTGATCACCGGCTGCATTTGAAGTTTAACATATACAGGTAGAGCACCGGATGTCATATTTCATACCGGCTTTACTTCAGCGTTTGTCATTTGTTCTTCTGATCCGCCGTACACTGAATGACATATAAAGCCTCGAAGAAATATTGGTTCCGTGCTGAGAAAGCCAGGTGGTCCGGCTCCGAGAGTGTTGTTAAACATGCCGATATCAAATAACACAGATGGATGCAGGCATCACCCAAACAGATAGCAGCCTCATTATTCATCTTCTGGCATCGAGCTGCGACTCCGAGCATGACCCACATGTAGCGGCGCATTAGGCGTCGGAGCATTCCTCTATTTACATATTTCCACTGTAATGGTTTAATGCTGGCCGGTGGAAGCGCACGGATTACAGAGCTGCTGTAGGTCCTGACAGAGCGAATGAAAATACTAGTTAACTCTTACAAGAGGTCTACAAGAATGTTTTCGTGTGTGTCTACAGCACGTCTGCACGCATAAACAAGCAGCGACACAAAGCATCCCGTCAGAGCATGACCAGCCCTGCAGGACCGACCCATCCCTTTCATTGGCACACACACATAAAAACACAGATACATCCTACACGGCATGAACCCTGTCCATCTGATGGTGCCTGTGTGTGTGTGTGTGTGTGTGTGTGTG